CATTTGGTTACCACAACTCCCACCACAAGCCCAACAGCACAATAGCAGAGGCCAGCTGCCGCAAGTATAAGACAAGAACCAAACAAGAACCGGCAATCTCATGGCTTGCAAGGCAACTCATGTGCGCACCACAAAAGAATGCTGCTGTAGACTCACGCTGTGGCAGGCCGTCAGAACCAATCTTGGGAACGCCAAATATGCAGTCATCAGGGAGCCTTGCGGGCACCACTCCGCATGTTTATCGCATACCAGGTATTTCTTCAAAAGTCAGGAAGCCCCCCCAACTAAGCCATGTTGGAAAACATCCAGAACATGTCGTGTCTGTTCTCAGAACATGTCGTGTCGGACCTGACCGACTTCGTTCCAGGGCCGAGACGTTGAGACGGACCGACCGCGCGCGGACCGACCGCGCCTTCCGATGGGCTGTTGCGCTCCGCGGACTGCGAACGGGAAAAAGGGACCGTCGTTGTGGGGGGCCGAAGGTTCGGGCCAACGGGAATCCATGTCAGCATAAGTCTTTACCAGCCTGAAATCAGCGTATAGAGCCAGATTCATCCAGAATGTTATGATTTTGCAAAAGAGTGTTCAAGAGCGACCGGCAAAACTAGGGGTCGTTTGGTGGGAAGGTTTAAGGCAGGTTATCGTTTTTGGGATTGTTATCGTTGTTTCAAGGAAAATGCAAATGTCTCATGTTTTTAAGAAACGGTGAGTGCCGACCTTTAAATAGCACAGTGTGTTGGTCAGAAGCCTCAAAATGGCGTGCCTTCCAACCTGTTCCTCCCTACTCGTCAAACCGGCTCACTTGCGCTGAGGTCCAGTGCGGATGTGTGTCTAGGAAACTTGACCAACCCAAACGTGTCAAAAAAGGGAAGCACTCCAGGAGTCCCTGAAGAAAAATGAGGTTTAACAAATTGTTTAAAAAGAACGATGAAAACATGGGAGTCCCTCATTTGGGGGCACATCCAGATACCATCAGTGCTTCCCAAACGCCTTGCTTCTCCTTTCTCGATATGATGAGCGCCGCTGCATCGAAGCTTCGCCGTCCCTCAGAGTGTGGCGCTCATCATCTCTTAGTCGATCCCATCCCAGCCAGGTACAGAGACGTCAGGAAGTCTCACCGTCCCAGCCAGGAGTCCACCGTCCAACCGTTCCGAGTCCTCACCGAGCCCTGCACCCTCCAGAACCTGCAGGCGCTTCGGTGCAACGAGTTGCGAAACGAATTCCCTCGGGGGTCGCCCAGGGGTCGCCCACGATCGGTCGTCTCACCTGACCATGTCCGAACGTTCAGATCCGGGGGCCAACCGTGTTCGAGCGACTTTGGGTCATGCCCACATTCGTCCCAGTACCGAGCAGATCCGATCTTTGCAACTTGCTGAGTTAGGGGTCGGATCTATGGCGGGCTGGCTCCACTTTCCGCCCACCGACCCGTCCCATCCGCCCGACCCGACCAACCGACCCGACGACGTGTGGCGAACGAACAAAAAGGGCCTGATTTGGGGTCGGCCGCTGGTGCTTGAGCCTGCACGTGCGGATCTTCACATAGGCGTGGTGGGTGTGAACCGGGATGAATCAACCTCTGTGTGTGAACTACTTCACAGTGGGATTGAATGAGAGAAACAGGTGGCAAAGGGCAGCAAAAGGCACGAGACCCGAGATATGGGTGCAAGTCCGCTTGGCATGTCGGAGCATTTGCCCCAACATTTGCCTTTTGAAGACATGGATCCAACTGCATCGTTAACAGTCCTAATAGCCACCGGACACTGTGAAAAGCAAGATCACGTACCACGAGATCTTCCTGCCAAAATGCTTTTTAGATCATATCACCTCGTGCCCGTCTTCGTACCACGTGGTCCGTCCAATCCTTGATGAAAAAAAACACCCCCATGAAGACTCCAGATATCCGCACCCCACAGGTCAATTGAGTCTTTCCTAGTAGCGAACCTTGTTACTAGTCGTAAGGCCAGGAGCCCCGTTTGTAGCGTCCTTGCTCCGTTCGTAGCGATGCCCTTGTTCCCAGTAGCTTCTTGTTACCTTGATGTCAGGTGCAGCTTGATTTGATGTCACAGTACAAAGTGTGTCTACTAATTATACCCGCTCGAATGATGAAGTGGTGCATCGAACGCTCCGTGACGTGGCGCCAAATCGATACACAATATTGATACCCCAAAACCATCCAACACCCTCATAGGTTTGCCCCCTCTCTGGCACCAACTATTTGACTTCGTCTCTTCATGTTTGCTTTCAACATGTTTCAACCAGGCCAAGAAGTCTTCAGATATTTTCGATGTTGCTTCAACTCAACTCATGGATCCTCCCGCCCCGCTCCTTTCGACCCGATCAACCGCCGCGCCTGGGGCTCACCCGGAGGTTCCAGCTTCGAGGAGCGCGTGTTCTTCTTGTAGCCGCGGCTGCTGGTCTGGGGCTTTTGGGCCATGTCTCGTGCCCCCCGCGAGACCCAACGAGACGTGGGGAGAACAGGTTTGGCTTCACTGATGCTTACAGTATATACATATTACGTACGGTACAAATATCTTGTAATAGCATAATGATGTGTATAATATATATATATATATGTTATATATATATATGTTATATATATATATGTATATTCCCCCCGGGAATCTCCCGGGAACCTATATAATTGGTGTTGAAACTGAAAGATGGCTGAAAACCATTGGGCGACCAACAGCGCCACATGACTTGGGCATTGCCAACAGCGCTCCTCATCCGCCGAAGCACCACCGAAATGGCAAAGTGGACGGTCACTGGGTGCCCCCAACCGCGAAGCGGTTCACTTGAGAGTCGGCAGACTTGCGCCGATCATCCTCACGAGCACCTGTGGAAAAAGAGGTGCTCCGACCTCGTTTTGCACTCAATTCATCTCAATACTTAAGTAATTAGACATCATATTGACGGACAAAATGGATCAGCGTGGCTCAAGGCGCACAGTTCTCACTGTTCTCACTGCTCTTCGGTAAATTGAAAGAAATCGATCATCCGAAAGCTGGTTCTGTGCTTCGATCCTTCCAGCCTGGTCGCTTGTCGTCATCCCTGCACCGACGGACCGGTCACAGCTGGTCCGTTCGGCCGTGAGACCGAGACGAAAAGAGATGACATACCGTCTGGGACCGGGGTTTCTTTATGGTGTCTTTCACCAGTTTTCACAGTGAATGACGGGTGTTCGAAAGACCTAAAACCGCAAAAGAGCGAGAATCTTGTACCAACTATGCCTGGCAATGGGATACACCCTGTATGTAATATACCATCCTGCTCGATGGTATGTAGAATATGATTGGAAGGTGTCCCTCTTGGAACCTGTAGTCATTGAACCTTAAACAGCTGGGATTGCTCCCTGCAAGATCTGAGCGGTTGCACAAGGCGTGGTAAGGTTTTCTCTTACCATGAAAGCGCTTTACACCTAATGCCACAGCAAGCACTGTTCATCAGGCTCACATTCCAATGTTTGCAACTTCAGGCTTCGCGTCTTGTCCCACCAAGCTCTGACTCAGGTTTAAGGCTTTCACGTGTTTCCCTGGCCTCCATCTCAAGAAAAGAACTCCACATCCAACGAAGATCATCAAGCACAAGAACTCAAGTTGGCTGGCTCACTGTTCCAATCACTGTCACAGTTTCTTGCTTTTTATCCACAGGCCTTCTCAAAACTCCCAATCCGCAGCAAAACAAGAAAACTATACACACCCGTGAACAACCATGAACAGTCACGAACGACCGCTGCTAAACTGGTTGTCGTGTGCAATGGATGATTGCGCATTGCGCATGATTGCGAGCATCCACTTGGCTTCTCCGCTGAGCCCCGGACAGAGCCAACCATCCACATCAAGCTCCTCGCATCACGGTCGGCCTGCAGACTGCCGTCCGTAACCGAATGAACCCCGGAACGCTCTGTGACCCTCCAGGTACAGTAGGGGGGGCAAAAGATAATGGTTCCGAAAAGCCCACATGAGTAAGAACTAGGTTACACATGGTTACACATGGTTACACAACATGCAAACGAAAAACTCGCTCCGGTAAAGGAAGCATGTCTTCCCACCATCAGCCGGTGCTTTCTATTATCTTTGAGGAAGCGACATATGCATGGTTCATCGGTTCATCGTGGTTCCTTACTTCACACGACCACCCCAAGCAGAAAAAAGAAACCACGCCACACCAGTGGATAAAGAACATATGGAAGTTCCTCGCCTCCTTCTTCTCTATGGCATCTTCTTGAGCCTGAGCGTCGCACGCTTGTGGACTTCTTTGCAAGGACCCACCGGCGCCAAATTCCTTCGATCTTCTTTTTGGGAAGAAAAGACTCCCGGCTGAACGACAACGAAAGGATGGAAAAGCCAAACCAAACGCAGACCTCCTTTGAGCTCGGCCAGACCCCCTCGTCCTCCGCGCCGCTCAGGAGTTCCCGTCTGCGTCGCTCGTTTTCTGCGTCGTCTGCGTCGTCTTCGCTCGGGCACCCCGGACGGGTGGAGCTTCCGCCGACACGATCCTGGGAGCGAAGCGGTTCGGTTCGGTCGGCGAAACGGTGGGGGGGGGTTGGTCGGACCGAGTCGGACCTGATTTCTGCCAAATGGTGGTTTGTTTGGGGTCTGAGACCTCTAGACACAGCTTGAAGGTAGGTCTTTTTGCCCTGGAATCCCATGTCAAGGCTGAGATTGTTTGAGATTTGAGCCATCTCCACAAATGGACACATAAAACTTAGAAAAAGATGTCTCTGCTGGCCGATCTATGCCCCTGGCATCTTGTCTGTGGAGTTGCCTGTGGCGTTGGAGGCCTTCTCCTCTTTCTTGTCCTCCGGGGAGAACCCGGAGTGTTTCATCCAAACCGGATTGAGGACTATAAACACAAGAAAGTGCTGGACAAAAATAAACACTCCTCGGTGGTTGTTGCTTCAGTGGTACTAGCTGCCGTTGTGGCCGCTGCTGTGGTTGCTGCTGCAGTCGTTGCTGCAGCAGTTGTGGTGGCCACTGTGGTTGTTGTTGTGGGAGCCAAGGTTGGCGCCGCGTTGCTGACAAAGGGGACTTGACCCATGTTGCTTCCACTCATCATGTTGGTGCCGGACATTCCAGACATGGCTGGCGCCATCACCTCAGGATTTCAGGCAGGAACGAAGTTGAGGAAGTCAGCCATTCAGATTTGAACGTTTGGATCATGAGTGAAGTCACCTACAGGAATGCAACTGCCCCCAGCATGTCCAAACTGAATCGAACGAAGCTGAGTGGATAGATACCAACGTGTGCAGCCCAAGGTACCACTGGCTGCTGCGCAAGACTACCATTGGCTGTAACCTGGTGAGACACCCAGGTAGCCCCTCTCTGGGCACCCCAGGTTTAGCGTCAAAGTCGTCCGAAAAGAGATGACAAACCTTGGGACCTTGGGTATATCCCGTTGCCAGCAACAGTGGATGATGGTTAGAAATGGCCTTTCCCCAAAAGTTACCATCTTTTACCGACTGTTACTATAATTTATAATGGGACACACCCTGTCGACATACACTTATAGTTATTTAGTGTTCATCCGGGGGCCACACTGCACGAGCTTTGTCATGGGGTCAAGGTGGCAGAGTCGATGGATGGTTGCCAAATCCACCCAAGCTGGATTTCGTTGCCAAGTCGATGGATGTGTTGCCCGAACATTGGGAGAAATTCCACACCATGTTTGGGGAAGAGGAGAAATCATGGAAAAGTCCAGTAAAGCCCTGCAGTAGGGCCGTAGGGTCTTTGTATTCTCTGTATCTTCCCCAAGGATTTGCCGATCGAACCTGGACGGCCGAAACGGCAGGAGCGACCAGTCTCCGACTTCGGTGACCGGTGTCGGCGCCTCCAAGTGTTGCAGGCCGGAGTCACCCTCGGCATTCTTTCGCATCATCCGGTGGTTCCTGCCACTGTTCAGCTGGGTTGCACATATTCAGTGGTTCGAGTGACAAATACAAAAATCTATAGATTATGCTACGCACTGGTCTGCTAATAACTGAAAGAAGATGACAGATTATGAAAGGAGTATCTGGTGTGTGCATTTGAAAGGTGTCTTTTGTTGCGCAAGAGTGCAAAGCTGCTTTACGGTGCACGAACTGTGCTAGATGTGGCTAGAATGTTAGTCTGCTCACCTTTTTGGCGTGGAAATGATTCTTCCCACAGTTTCCCCCTGTTCCAAAAATCCCAAGAACGTAACCGTCTGCCCCAGTCTCACCACGCATCGCCCTTTTCGGCCGTCTCACCGGTCGGCTTCCCCAGCACCGTGGGCGTCTCCGGCGATTCAGCCACTGCGTGCGGCTCGGCGCGCAGCGCGTGCGGCTCCAAGGACCAGGCGCACGCGAGGTACGTGGCGCCGCGCAGCGTGATACCCGCGCTGCCGAAGGAGAGGAGAGCTTTCCTGGGAGGTGTGGAGAGGGTGTGACGAGGTTAGTGACGCAAAACAATATCCAACGAGCAGGTCGTGCTCATGAGACCATCCTGTGGTTGTAGAGAAACACGGAGAAGGTAGCCTTCCTCATGGGGTCATGGACATCCATGTCGCAGGGTGCACGAACTGCTCCACGATGGGCAGCAGGCGAATCCAAGCGATTGGTGCAGGAATTTTGTCAAATCGACACATGGACACCAGGTTGAAACAAGCAAAACCTGCCTCCCTGCCATGTCTTCAAGGTCTGGCAGACCATCCATTGCGATACAGAGTAGGTTTGCAAACGAGTAACATGAGTTATTGTGGCCCTACGGGTCCCTAATTATGGAAGAGGTCAGAATGCAATTGCTCACCAAGTTTGAGGCACAGTGCTTTGAATACATTGCACAATACTTTTACGTATTTTTCTCATGGATATGTCACCGTCGAAGTGCTACAGTAAGCACACAACGAATCCTCGCCCCCCACTCGCCCATGTCCCCAAATGAGCGCCCTTCGTCTTGACGCCCGAAGCGCTGTAGTGCGCAGGCGTCATCGCAAGTTGCAGAGGCCTTGCTCAAATCCGAGGTCCAGCCAACCAGAATGGGACCCAAACCAGTGCCCACAGACCAGCAGGTCTCCTGAGCTGCCACTCATATGACCCAGACAGTTACCAAGCTGACGCGGAATTTCGGTTCCATGTTGCACCGGAAACAAACAGCAAGGCGGGCTCCGGCATGCGGAGTAAGACTTGAAAGCACAGCAGGTTGGGACACCTTCGGCCTTCGGCTCTAGTTCCAAAAGAAACCGTGGGTGTGTCCAGCACTACAAGTTTGGCGGCAAAGTAGACCCCAGATAGCGAAAGATATTTGTTGGCTCACTGCCACAGGCATCTAGCAGCGGCATCCTGCAGCGGCACCAGCACCCAGCCTCCAAAAGCTCGCACTGCCATCAACATCTGGCAGCAGCACCCAGGCTCCAGAGCGGACACGACCATACACATCTGGCAGCACCCTGCAGCTGCACCAGCGCCCAGCCTCCAAAAGCGCACAACGCCATCAACATCTCGCGCAGCCTCTGCCACTGTGATGCATGGCGCCTATTGTTCTTCCCCTTGTCCAAAGTGGTTTACGTTTAATCAACGGTTGTGTTCAACCGGAAAGCCGAAGACAGCGTTCGCACCTGTCACCTGTCCAAACACTGGACGGTCCTTTATGACTCGCCGGTTGGGCCATCCCAGTGACGTTCATCGCCTGATTCCTTGAAGCGACCTGAAGCTCTGCTGACCTCATGGCGCCCTGAAGCCTGGAACTGAAACCTTGAGGCCCTGACGGCACCTGAAACCCTGAAGAGTTGAAGCCTTGCTGTGGCTTTCAAAGTCTAGCGGAGCTTCGTTTTGTCTTCATGTCTTGGTGTCTTCGCGGGCCAACGAAGACCTCCTCTGCTCAACTGGTTGCCTGATGTTCTCGTGATGGTTCATGTGGAGCAAGCCTCTTTGTTTGCACACCGGTCACGCATCGTTCTTTGCAGTTGAGCTTTAGAATCTTTGAACTTCAGCTTTTGGGAGATCCCGTTTCATAATGTTTCATACGACCTGTTCTACTCAGGCATTTTTCCCCCAAATCCTCGGTTTCCAGCACCTACACAGACTGACCGCATGTCCGAGAAGAAGATTTCAACTCATGTTCTGTTCTTTCGTCAAAAGCGGTTTTGTTCGCCGAAGACGAAGGCCGGATGGCCGGTTTGGGTCTGGTCGATTCGCTGCATCTCATCCGACCACAAAAGACGGACCGCATCACATCGGGTTCCTTGACCCACCTTGTTGCTTCATGTTTCTGTCCCAGTGGCCAGCATCCCTTGCAAGGTACCTCGTAGTCCAGTCCCTTCCTCTTGCACCACCGCCTGCACCCCTTGCCGCAGGGTCCCCGCCAGCACACCGAGCGCGGCGAAGAGGACCAGCTTTCCGAAGGACGAGGCTTCGAAGACGGCGATGCCCAGCAGGAGCCCAAGGGCGTCACCGAAGCTGGCAAAGTACCTCGGTCGACTGCACAGCCGTGGCTGGGCAGTCGCCGTCCGTTCCGCGGTCAAAGGACGGCGCGGAACGGACGTGCCGGTAGACCGCCATTTTGATAAGGCCCTCAAGGAGAGTGAAGTCTGTGAATTTTTTGTGGAGATGTGGATGAATTCATTCACACACCGCCAAATGGAAGACATATAGGTGTGCATTAAAGTAGGAAGACCTCCCAGTTCGACCTCTTGGAAGAAGGAACATACACCAAAACCGTCCAAAACCCATTGGTTGAGGATCTCCCCTATTCTAATACACACCCAATATTTCATGTCTGGAAGGATGACGAAAAGGATCTACCTGTGTTCACCGGTGGATTTGGGCTCAAAGAGCAGTTCCTGTGGGTGAACTGAAAAGGTGAACCGGAGGCTCATCTCCAAAATGGCCCTAGAAAAAACAGAAATGTCATTTGACAGACACCAGGACCGATCTCAGAAAACCTGAAAGCTATCGGATTCAGACATTTAAATTAAAGTACTGTAATTAGTCGCACTCTGAAGTGATGCAGACTTTCTTGCTTCCAAACGTGTGTCCAGATCATTTCTCCATCAGAGACGGTGCTGCTTCTTCTCTTGCCCAGCGGCAGATTCACCCGGAGGGACCCCCCGCGTTTCTGAAAGCAATGATCGATGAAATGTCCCGCGGCAAAGCCTCCCAAGACGCCCGCCACGCCCAGCGTCGGACCCAGCACCAGCCCGATGTCGCTCGGTTGTAGGCCGTGTTTTCGCTCGATGAAGGCCGAGAGGAAGCGTCCCTGGCCCGAGAGCAGCCCTGTTAACAAAGCGCCCAACAGCAGCAGTCGGACTGGTGGACGAGACAGCAAGGCTTTCAAGTCGGAGGCCCAGTGGCCATCCGGTTTGGAGGAATAACTGTTGGGCACTGTGCAAAGCAAGAGAAAGGAGACCGCCACTTGGGGTGCTCCCAGTAGTGCGAAGGCTGAACGCCAGCCATACTTGCTGATCAAAGAACCACCCAAAGCAAAGCCCACAAGTCCACCCAAGGCTGAGCCCGCATGGTAGAATCCCATTGCAGTGCTCAGCTCCTCTGCTGCAAAGTGGTCGCACAAAAGTGCCAAGGCCACGGGATAGCCTGCACAGTTGGCGACGCCCGCGGCCAGGCGGCAGAGGATGGCCACTTCGAAGCTGCCCGAGAGGCCTGTGGCCAAGGTGGAGAGCGACCAGAGAAAGACTCCTGCACCCAGGAGTTTGGCACGGGGCACTCGATCAGCTAGACGACCCACAGGCCCTGTAGCAAGAGGCACAATCCACAGGGATGAAGAAGCTAGAAGTCCCACCTGGACATCATTCATCTGGAAATCCGGCTTCATGGATTCCAAGGCGATGGACAAAACACTTCGATCTAACCATTCACACATCACGACCAAAGCGCAGCAGGTCAGAACCCAGTGTTTCAGTTCCAGCCCATTCCGGTAGAAGAGCGGCTTCAGCTTCGCACCTTCCACCGCGGTCACCGCGCCGGTCTCGGGGCCTGTTCCGCTCTCCGATCCCGCAGCCACCGCGGGCCCACGGGGAGAATGCGATGAGGGTGGAGGAGCAAAGACTTCCGAGCCGAGCTCATCTTCACAGAGCTTGGCATATTGCAGCTGAATCTCACGCCAGAGCTTCTGGTTTTTCACCATGGCGGTGGCGGGCGGTTCTTTCACTTCATGGAGGTGGCAGGTTGTCGCTGCATGTGAGAAGGACCGTTGCAAAAAATGACGTGTGGATGAGAATGGAGAAGACCTGATAAGATGGTGGAAAGATGCTCGCCGCAAATAACTGGATAAACGTCTCAAACTTGAAGCTCTGTGGTATGGCTTATGGTTTATGTCCAAATGAAGAGCTCCAGTAGACCAGTAGAAGTGCTCATCGACTTTAGGTGCCAGAGGTATACGGTATACAATCTTGTGCAGGCAATCAGGTACCTTTTCTTTGGGGATTCTCATCTGTGGGGATTCTGTCCAAGTGAGCAAACGCTGCGAGGGGCCACAGAGCCGATGGTTAGTTCAAACGTCTCTTTCAAGGTCCAACTTCAACTGAACGAAGCAGTCCGAGCTAGCCTGTCCATGGCAGCGGCCAGCTCCACTCGAAGCAAGGCCATGACAATCAAACTTAGTGCCGGAGAAGTGTTCAAATGAGGCAACTTTATGCAACTTGGACGGGTGGGACCCTGGTCTTGCCAGATTTCTTCAACCGAAAGAACACAGGATGTCTCACGGTATGCACAAAACAAATTGCACCGTGGCTGTGTCGAAGCGTTCTCTCAATTCGAGTTCTATTTTTCTCAAGAGAGTCGCTCCATCTTGTCAGAGGGGTCTCTGCAGGACTTGTCAAACATGATGAAACATGTACGGGTCCGGGTCGGCATGAGCCCTCAGTGTCAAAAACCATGGACATCACAAGTATCGGTCATTGTGATCACAGGCCATGGTCATCACTGGATATATCCATCCCCACTACAATATATATAGTATAGTATATATATATATGGGCCTTAAGGCCACCCATTTCATAGTGGAAATGGCAATGGTGATATCATATATCCCAAATCCTCTTGTGGTTCTCTGCGAAACCGGTCATGGGCCGGTCTTGGAGCGCCGGGCCAAGGCTTCACGCTTGGAGCCTTCAGCGAAAAAGAAAAAGAACCAACGGTTCTCACGGGATTCCATGTGGAAAGAACATGGAACTGAACATGGATTCCATGGACCCTCCGGTCATGTGCTTCTCCTGGTCATAATGCAGTGTGTGTTGACCGACATGTCGACGACTCTCATCCTCATCTCTTTCTGTCGAACGTGCGACGCGATCTGAGGTTCCCAAACCCGGAGGCGGTGGGTCTCCTTCGTCACATGGCAGGAAAGACGCTGCTTCTGCAGCATCAGCGTGGTGGCCTGGTCGTGGAAACACTGGTGGGCAACGGGTGTGACTCGAGGTGATCTTAATAGAGACACCAGGGAACTCGCCAAGACCATGGAAAGTGTCGCAGAGAAGTTGCGCCCAGAGGGAACTGTCACATGCTGGCACAAGAGTCGTCAATCACCTATCATTACGAAAACTGATGATGCACGAATGAACGGCTTTTTCAACCACTCCCAGCTTTCAGCGAGTCTCGGTCAGCTCAGTAAGTTGCAGCCTGCTTGGATTGTGAGAGGTAGTCAGACCACTCCTGGAAAGGAGACTTCACGTGATTCGTGGGCTTCCAGAGGTCGGGGGTCAAGTAGCCATAAGTAGCCTTGAGCGCCTCGAAGGTCGCCTTTGCAAAGTTGGCCGTGGTTCGTGTGTGGCCGCAAGAGCAAGTGAAGCAATCAGAAATGCCAGCGAAGGCCATCATCTTCTTCATGACTGGGGAGCCGACAATGCCAGAGCCTCGAGGGGCAGGGATCAAGCGGGCTCGCACTGAACCGCACTTGCCATGGACCTTCATGGGCACTGTGTGGGGCAGACCAATCCTGTTACCCCAGAAGCCACGACGGACAGGGATCAGATTCATCTTTGCCGCAATGATACCACCTCGAATGGCCGTGGCAACCTCCTTGGCACACTTGGAACCCAAGCCAATGTGGCCATTCGTGTCACCCACAAGGACATAGCACACAAAGCGGTTGGTCTGACCCGCAGAAGTCATTTTCTGCACGGGGTGGATCTTCAGCACCTCGTCCTTCAACGAGCCAGGGGGGTAGAAGTGGTCAATGATCTCGGGCTCCTTGATGGGCAAAGAGTGCAGGTAGATGTCCTCCAACTGAGTGATCTTGCCATCATTCACCAAGCGTCCCAGCTTTGTCATGGGCACCCATTGCTTCTCTTCCTGCTTTCCCTTGCCCTTGCCCTTTCCCTTGCCCTTTTTGCCTTTTCCCTTTCCTTTGTCTCCAAAACCGCCTTTGCCAAATCCACCGTCTCCTCCCATCTTGCAGGCCTTAGTGAGCGGAGAGAGGTGACGATTGAGAACCAGAAAAAAAAACGCACAAACATATATAATATATATATATAATATAATGTATACACCCAAAATCTGTCCCAAATCGGTTTTTTGATATACAATCATTTCCCAGCACCCAGTGACCCAGCCCTGTTTCTCATTCAGGGCCCTGGCTAATGGCGCTGGGCCAAGCGGTTCCTTTCTCCGACTTGAGCCGCCACAGCGGACACGGACGGTCTTTCTCCACTGTAACTCCTTCGCCACACAAAGCCATCTCTGGTGAGAATGAAATTGATGGATATCAAATGATTTCACCAAATCAGATCATGAGGACATTGCACACAGGAAAAGGAACATCCTAACCTCCTTTGACCCCGCACACTGTCTTTTGCTATGACTCAGCCCTCTCCGGCCTTTGCATGGATGGCTAGATTGGGTAAACCTGTGCGCTCAGCTCTGCCGCAAAGGCAGTTTCGATGCCGACGCGAAACCAGGTTCTGGGGCTTCAGGAAGAGACACTGGAGCTACATATATGGAAAGTGCAGGCTGGTCTGCACATCAAACAAGAATGTCTGTTTACTGACCTTCACGTACTGTTCACTTACTGTGTACCACCACGACTGTTCCCAAATCACTCAGGCTCGCGCCTCCTTCTGTTCCCAACCCCCAACAGTTGAGGCTGGCTGGCAGCGGAAAACATTTGTTTGAAGCGCCTTGTCATAGGCCAGTCAAGTTATAATCTTTAACATGCTCTTAGCTCTTGACAAAAGGTCAAATGCACATGCTGGCACAAGAGTCGTCAATCACCTATCATTACGAAAACTGATGATGCACGAATGAACGGCTTTTTCAACCACTCCCAGCTTTCAGCGAGTCTCGGTCAGCTCAGTAAGTTGCAGCCTGCTTGGATTGTGAGAGGTAGTCAGACCACTCCTGGAAAGGAGACTTCACGTGATTCGTGGGCTTCCAGAGGTCGGGGGTCAAGTAGCCATAAGTAGCCTTGAGCGCCTCGAAGGTCGCCTTTGCAAAGTTGGCCGTGGTTCGTGTGTGACCGCAAGAGCAAGTGAAGCAATCAGAAATGCCAGCGAAGGCCATCATCTTCTTCATGACTGGGGAGCCGACAATGCCAGAGCCTCGAGGGGCAGGGATCAAGCGGGCTCGCACTGAACCGCACTTGCCATGGACCTTCATGGGAACTGTGTGGGGCAGACCAATCCTGTTACCCCAGAAGCCACGACGGACAGGGATCAGGTTCATTTTTGCCGCAATGATACCACCTCGAATGGCCGTGGCAACCTCCTTGGCACACTTGGAACCCAAGCCAATGTGGCCATTCGTGTCACCCACAAGGACATAGCACACAAAGCGGTTGGTCTGACCCGCAGAAGTCATTTTCTGCACGGGGTGGATCTTCAGCACCTCGTCCTTCAACGAGCCAGGGGGGTAGAAGTGGTCAATGATCTCGGGCTCCTTGATGGGCAAAGAGTGCAGGTAGATGTCCTCCAACTGAGTGATCTTGCCATCATTCACCAAGCGTCCCAGCTTTGTCATGGGCACCCATTGCTTCTCTTCCTGCTTTCCCTTGCCCTTGCCCTTTCCCTTGCCCTTCTTGCCTTTTCCCTTTCCTTTGTCTCCAAAACCGCCTTTGCCAAATCCACCGTCTCCTCCCATCTTGCAGGCCTCAGCCAACAGGAAAGCTTTCAAAATAAGTGCTATGCCCTATGGCAGCATTTAGACACATGTTGAAATGTGAAAATTTCTTGCTAAAGGCCCTGACTGGTGGTGCTGGGGGCTGAAATGTAAGCCGACTTGAGCAAAAGAAAGGGACATGCCATCAATCGATGCCAAAATAACTCGGCAACATTCAATTCCCGAAGTTCAGCTCAAGTGTAGGCTTAAGCAGCAACAAAATTTGACGCTATGTCACCATGATGAACCAAATTCATTCGACTCTTTTCTTTCTCTTGACTCTGAGTTCAGGCTTATCTGCAATCAGCCATTCAGAGGAGATTCGGTGGGGGTAGGGAGAAAGCAGGTAGACCATCGCAGAATCGCAGGGAAAATAATGAATGTTGTTCATGTTTCAACCAGGACCCTATGATGAAAGGCATGTCAGTTTTCTGCGCTATGTCGCCATGTCGGTCTCCTTTTCGCCGCTTTCCCTCGGAACTCAGTCCAGGTCTTCGTGGTAGCCTACCAACGAAAGGGGCGATAGGAATGCCGCCCACATACACTGCAGCACTATCCAACACGAAAGACTTCAAGTCAACATCATGTCCTGTGGCACAGACGACAATATGACATGTCAAAGAACCAGGCACCGAAATTCAATCTGCGCACGCACCCCATGTTGATCCACGGTCGATCTTCTAACCGTTTCTCAAAGGGGATCGTTCACACATCTCTGAACAGTCCACGATCTTCCGCTGAGGTGTTCAAAACCTCAGTCTGTAGACGATAAAAACTCCCTGGAAACTAACATGGAAGTGGAGAATGGCCCCGAAAGGAAGACCATTTTCCACTACAAACAGGTGGTATTCCACTTCCATGTTAGTTCCAGGGAGAGATAGGGAGAGTAAAAAAGAAAATTGTTGACTCTTGCGCGAAAACCTTGCGCGACGACAGTGGGGAACTTCCGCGGCGGCTTATCTTCAACATTTGCTTGCAGCTTGCGCTAAAACAGGTGGTGCTATTTTGTGTCTTGGCCTGCGTGGTGTATGCCGCTTTGAAAAATGAACCCTTGCAGGCATGCGAATGAGACCATTTTTGGGACGTTCTAAGCAGAATCGCCTTTTTTGGACGAGGAACTTGAGTGAACCCTTGTGGCATGTCAGCTTCTGAAGCTCGAGGTGTTTCCTTTTGACTGCTCGCTTGCAAAGCTGTTTTGTCTTTGTAGAAAGCCTTTCGAACGATCGTCGTGCACTTGGCAGAGCTCCAGAGAAGGTTCTTTGGCATGTGAGCTTCGTTCCAGTATCTTCTGCCATGCCTGTTCACTCAAAACCTTTTCAGCATAGGCTCACAATGGGGTTTGCACCGAGCAACAGGGATCAGATTGCTTCTTCTGTCTCAGCAAGCTGAGCGGACATTTTGTCGCGAGGAAGTCATGTGGCACAGGAGACGAGACCGCTGAATGGACGTGCGCGAAAACCACGTATTTTGAGAGGACGTCTCCCCCCAAACGCAGTGCCAACAAGAGAGAAAACGCTCTTCGTTTACATCCGTCTCAACAAGCAAAGTGCACATAAGAAACAACCAACATATTACTGATATATAGGTTGAATCATGAACAAACACTTCATCTAAAGTCTGTGAGTCATACAGTCTCTCATTCCAGCACTGATACAATATCAATATGAAGCTTAACTACGCCTTGCGCAAACCAAACGCCTTGCGCGAAACCTGTAAAAGCGCTTGCCCGCGTGTGTGTGTGTGTGTGTGTGTCACCCTTGGAGTCATAGGGATGCTTTTGCATTTGTTT